GAGATGGACACAGAGTACGCGGTGAATACAGTCTAGTCGAAGCAGATGGCTCTTTAAGAAAAGTTCAATATAATGCTGATCAATACAATGGGTAAATATAACACTTCTTTATGTTCATGACTGAGATTTTAATGAAAATATTTTTTTAAAGTAGTAAAATTAAAAATATTGTCCAACTGACTAATACAAATGGTAAAATTGAAAAATTTGTACAACCAACTGCATAATAAATAAAATTAGAACATCATAAATGTATTCGATGTCAATTAAATACTCATTATTAAATATAACTGACAAACTACTAATCAGACCTAGATTAAATTTATACGAGACCACACGAGAAGCTTTCAAATAAAAAAGAATAATCAAGATCAGTTCACCAACAAATAAGTTCAGAGGTAACCACACATAAAACATACAGTTGAATTGAGTACCTCCTCCTTTTTGAAATAGGTTAAAATTAAATCCTAAATTATAACGAAGAAAGACTTTTAAATTTGAAGTTTCCTTGCGCGCATCTTATCACTACCCTTTTAAGTCTATTGTTAGACGTGTAAGCCTTTTAAGAATACGTAAGCTGGTACGCCTGATTCAAAAATTCTCCCATATTCAAACCAGCACCAAAATCAGCAAGCTAGTTTGTAAATGCAGTACTAACACACTATTATTGATTATGCTACTCCAGTATAATATACTCCATATTTTATACGTGGTTGAGCTACGCTGCCGCTATATTATGATCGTAGCACGAATGTGTCAGCTCGACCGGCGAAGGACCACGCTCTAACAGAATACCAGCGTAAAATAGCAGTTTCATGCTGCTGTGTTCGTATAGTGAGTGTAACGAACCGGAGACCCTTTTTACTAGATACGAGGCATTCCATCACAGTCTTCAGGGGTGACAACGCATCTACATTTTGATTCTTAATCGAAGATAAGTATGTCTATGAACCACAGCATCCACTAAGCATCAGGTGGAATATGTGCTAGATTTTCACCTCCGTTCTATAAAAAAAGTAATCGGTGGAAGGTAGATTTTTTTAAAGAATGTTCAAAATTTTCCATGACATTGACCCTATGGATGAATGTACCGTACCGGTTTACTTGGTTTACATCAGGGGGAATAGCTTATTACGGAAGTGGTTTTTTAAACATTTTCTAAATTAGTTCAACCATATAATTATTGCAAAAAAATCATTTATTGTTATATTTTATTGTTATTATAATATTAATTTTATGATAGTTTTCTTTCCCCAAATTAATTTTTCTACTTAATTATAGTAATAGATTCGTCTCAAAGGAAATAATTTGGTGAAATATAAGAACGTCAATCAGTTTCTTTTACTCATTCCGCCGTATTTTAAATACGCTGCTAACAAACATTAAATTGAATTTGAGATTCAGGATGAGTTTTAATTAGTTTAAATAATTTGATTTGTTAGGGTTCCTTTTATTTTAACATCATTCTTTTATATAAAAAAAAATAATTAAATTGATTTGACAGATTTAGTGCCATAGTCAGTAAGAGCGTTCACAAACATGGAGACCAAGCTTTCTCCACCTTCAGTCACACAAGACATTTTTTACCAGAAAGGAGACGATTCAACCACTTTTTCCCTCAAAGATACTATAATACTTATGAGAACATAAAATCAAACGAAATTCCCGGCAGTAAGCCAGTGAATGACGTTCTAGAAGAACCGTCTGTTATATATAATAATTCAATTCATCATCATTACAGCCCTTCACAAGTCCACTGCTGAACATAGGCCTCCCCCAAGTAATACCACAAAGCACGGTCCTGAGCCACCTGCATCCATCGACTTCCTGCATGTCTTACCAGGTCGTCACTCCATCTAGTGGGGGGTCGCCCTACACTACGCCTACCGGTACGAGGCTGCCACTCGAGAACCTTTCTTCCCCATCGGTTATCGGTTCTTCGAGCTATATGGCCGGCCCATTGCCACTTCAGCTTACTAATCCGTTGCGCTATGTCGGTCACTCTGGTTTTACTGCGGATATCCTCATTTCTGAGTCTATCACGCAGAGAAACTCCGAGCATAGCCCTCTCCATAGCTCGCTGAGCGACCTTAAGCGTCCTCATACGGCCAGCAGTGAAGGACCACGTCTCAGATCCGTAAGTCATCACTGGCAACACGCACTGGTTGTACAATCTAGTTTTTAGAGATTGAGGTATACCTGACGAAAAGATATGCCGTAATTTCCCGAACGCTGCCCAGCCGAGTTGAATCCGTCGATTGACCTCTCGGTCGAAGTTGGACTTACCTAGTCGGACTATTTGTCCCAGGTAAACGTATTCGTCAACAACTTCGAGCATAGTGCTCCCAACAACTACCGGCATAGGTGTGACATGGACATTGAACATGATCTTTGTTTTGTCCATGTTCATCTTAAGACCTATCCGTTGGGAGGCACTATTGAGGTCATTGAGCATAGTGCTTAAGTCCTCCAGCGATTCTGCCATAAGGACTATATCGTCGGCAAATCGAAGGTGAGTGATGTACTCGCCATTGATGTCAATACCGTATCCTTTCCAGTCCAGTAGCTTGAAAACGTCTTCCAATGCAGCGGTGAAGAGTTTCGGGGATATAACGTCACCCTGTCTTACACCTCTCTGCAGTTGGATAGGTTTCGAGCTCTGGTTCTGTACTCGGATAGCCATCGTAGCCCTACTGTACAAACACTTCAGCACTTCGATATACCGACAGTCAACTTGGCACCGCTGAAGGGACTGTAGCACCGCCCAAATTTCGACGGAATCAAAGGCTTTCTCATAGTCCACATACGCCAGGCAAAGTGGCAGATTGTACTCTTCAGTCTTCTGTACAATCTGCCGCAGGGTATGTATGTGGTCTATGGTACTGAAGCCTTTTCGGAAACCGGCTTGTTCGGGAGGCTGGAAGTCGTCAAGTCTGCGTGCGAGACGATTCGTAATGACTCTCGAAAACAGCACGTAGACGCGGCTCAGAAGGGAAATCGGTCTGTAGTTCTTTAAGAGAGCGTTGTCGCCTTTCTTAAAGAACACGACCACCGCACTTCTGCTCCACGCCTCTGGAGTAGTGCCACCATGGAGGACGGAATTGAAGAGCTTCTGAAGGACTTCAAGTACCGGTGTTCCACCCGCTTTCAGAAGCTCCGCTGTAATTCCATCCTCGCCTGGGGCCCTGCCGTTTTTAAGGTGCTGGAGAGCCATTCTAATCTCGCTTAGACTGACGTCCGGGATATCATCGGAATAGTGTCGGATAAGACTTGCTCTTGGATCGTTACTCACACTTGCGTGTGGCTCCAACGATGATGTGTACAGCTGCCCATAGAACCTCTCAATCTCACTCAAAATCTCAGGTGTCCCGGAAACGATGTTGCCACACTCAGTCTTCAGCCTTGACAGTTGGCTCTTTCTGGCAGACAGATCTCTGGCAAAGACTTTGGAGCCCTGGTTCCGCTCGATCGCTTCTTTAATACGAGAAGTATTAAAGTTGCGTAAGTCTCGCCGTATGCATTTGGAGATCTGTCTGTTCAGTTGCCTGTATGCTGTCAAATATGTTGACGATTGCAGCCTCATCTCCCGTCTAACAGCCATGAGATTAAGAGTGTGATCGGAGAGTTTTTGTGTTCTTCTGCGGCGGGTCTTGCAGAACTTAGCTCCGACCGCATGGACAGTTTCCACGAGCTTGTCGTTCATATCGTCCACTGCATTGCAATCTTCTAGGCACTGGAAGCGGTTACGTAACTCGAGCTGAAAGGTTTCGGGATTCTGGATTAGAGCACGAGGGGGACAGAGCGTAGACTTCATTAGACGAGACCTCTCCAACTTAACGTTTCGTTTCAGTGTGCCTCTAACCATTCGGTGATCGCTGCCAGTTTTCACCCTTGCGATCACTGAGACATCACTGAACAGTTGGCGTCTGGTCGTCATAATGAAGTCAATCTCATTTTTTGTCGAACCGTCGGGGCTCGACCAGGTCCACTTCCTGTGGGGCCGCTTCTGGAAGAAAGAGTTCATCATAAAGAGTTCCTCTTTCTCCATAAAGTCGGCCAGCTGCTGGCCCCTTCGGTTCCGTTGCCCTACTCCAAATTTCCCTACCTTCAGCTCACCGCTTTCTCTTGTGCCCAGTTTTGCGTTGAAGTCTCCCATCAACACCGTGTAGTAGGTTTTGGAGGAATGTATGGCTCTGGAAATATCCTCATACATTTCCTCCACCTCCTCATCGGGATGTGCCGAGGTTGGTGCGTAAACCTGAATGACCTTCAGCGAATACCGTTTGGTGATTCTGAGTATCAGGTACGCGACCCTCGTCGACACACTCCCAATCTTTACAACGTTGTTGACGAGAGATTTGTGGACGATAAATCCGACACCTCCTTGGGACAGATGGTCGCCCTCCCGGTGATAGAACAAGTTGCCGGACTCGAGGATTGCCGTGTCCTCCCCCTCTCTTCGGACCTCGGATAATCCAATAATATGCCAGCGCAACTTGTCTACCTCTTCTTCCAGCTCCAGTATCTTCTCGTCAGTCGTCAGTGTGCGTGCGTTATATGTTGCCAGGTCGAGTCGTCGTAGGTGGCAACCGAACCTCCACCGGAGATTCTTAGCACCCCCTGCCCCACCGTTACCATGGTCGCCACCGTAGCCAGGAATAGCGGGGCCGCCGGGGACTGGGGGCCGTCTGTTTGTGTATTTATTCATTGGGGGGTATTTGCCATAGTTGCCACGCTTGGCGAGCGGGTTGGCAACCGCAGTTTTTTATTACGTCACAGTTGTCATCAGGAAGACGCTGCTGCCCATCTCCTGCCTGTCTCCCTCTGTCGCCTCTTACGACACCCACGGGAAGATATGGGGTAGTGGATATTCTTAACCGCCACTACACGGCCGTAATAATTCAATTATTACGAAAAAATCTATTTACTCAGAAGGCATTAATTTTGAATCAAAACATTTAGAAAAACCGAAAATTAGTAACGAAAACAACTCTTCGATAATGAAAAAGGAATCAGAAGAATTACTATCACAGATATTATTGCCAGAAAAAGATGTTTCTGTCGAATTAAATACAGAAAGTACTTACAATATAGACAATGCTAAAAAGAGCAAAGAAAACTTCAAAAATTCACCTGAAGAACAGGCGAAATCTAATAACGATCATGTTGCTTCGGATTCCGATGCTACTTCATCCTACATTTCAAATATATATTATGTTGGCTTCTAATATTTAAAAGAGAAAATAAAAAAAACGGTAAAAAAAGTGTTAGAAACTAAGTGGAATATGTCGTTTTATAATAATGTACACCTTTCCTGTTAGGTGCTTTTGTTTTTTATTTACCTTATCACGACCTCTACCTTTAAATTGTTGCAAGTCTATTTATCGAAAAGACTACGCATTTAATAAAAGTTCTTAATTTATGCGCTAGATGGCTCTTTAATAAACAATAACCAATTAGCACTTATTTTGCAGGTGGTACTTTTTTCAATTATTTATTTACAAAACGTCCAGTATAACTTTAATCTGATATAAAAAAAGCTGTAATAGTGATTATAAAAAGTTTATATTTTAAAGTAATAAAGATACAGCTGTAAACTTTATGTTGTATTGTAGCTTAACTCAAAATCTGTCGATCTAATATAAAAATAAGAAGGGTAAACGGGGTTGTTTTTGCAGTAATTTACAATAATTTGCCGATTAGCATATTTTTTTGATATTTATTTGAAGTTAAATTTTTTTCTTCAAAGTTACTAGTATGTCAACAAAAATTTTGATAATGTAAACGATAAACTATATTATTGGCCTCCGAATAAGTTAATTTTTTTCTCAGTAAGACTAAAACTTTCAGAGATATGACTTTTTTCGTAAACGCGTAGAGAATATCTCAAGAGAAAAACAAAATGGCTGCCAAATAGAGGGGGAGGGGATTAGAACTCAGTGTGTAGTGTATTTTTATATTAAAATAGCTGTATTATAAGTACCTAAAATATCGCTAGTCCGTAACCGGACACACTGTATATATTTTAGCTTAGTTGGATACAAAACTGGACGATAAATTTCTTCGATGCGTGATACCAACTGGGACTTTCTCGTCAACAGCTTAAAGTGAATCATAAAATGCTACCAGCGGTCGGCTGATGGAATAGCCTCCAGCTCGCGGAAGTTAGAGATGCTGACCTCGATGTAATATTCTCCTCGCTTCGAAAACTCGCTCTTGTGCATCTATATCCCGAACCTTTATATCCTTCTTCCAACCTTTATATTTATCTTTAGTCTCCGTTGAAACAGGCTGCCATGACTGAAGTTCGGTAAAAAATATATATAATATATTCTTGATTAAGAAACTATTTGAAGAATAATTAAAATTTATACGCGTTGCCACACATGAGGACTAAGACGGAATGTCGTGTTACCAGTAAAAGGAGTCTACAATTCTTTCACGGACTTAGTAACAAGAAAGCGTTATGCTGCTATTTTACATTTGTATTCTAAGCGCATCTTCCTTCCCCGGTAGAGCCAACCCAATCATACTGCAGCTATAATACAGATTCAACCTGGTCCTCGCACGTGTGATCTTTCTGCCTTTAAGCTGTACCTACCGATGAAGGCTTGCAACTATCTGGCACAGGACCAAATACGGAGCTGCTACTTTCTTTGATCGCTTATTTTCTCATCTCCTTACTCCCTTCTTCTCTTAACACCGTTTCCTTCCATCGTCTCATACCTTCCTAACCTTTAGGGCCTCAAATAAATCCGTACTAAGGGAAAAATCTAAAGAAAGAGAAATACCTGAGTTGTTTTAAAATAAAGTATATGAAATATGTATTCTCTCACTACGTTATATTTATGATTCTCATAATGCAATGATCTGAAGTTCGTACGCAATACATAATTCGCACAATGTCGGTAGGGCGTATTATGTAACAAAGTATATATTGCCCCAGTTTAAGTGTATATTATATTCGGAGTGTTAGTTAGCTTTACGTAAGGGTTTATAACAAAAACAGAATAAGGCCTAAAACGCTACATAATGCACTTTATTTCTAAATGTAACGTATTAAACCACAAACACGTAAAATATTTAAAAACAATAGCAAATTATAAATTTATCTTACTTTATTACATAAGTATCTATCTTAAGCACTACAATAATTCTCGCATATACATATACATATTTTTATATTTTATTCATTCGGGATTGAAATAGTGTCTTCTATTTCTTCTCTTCTCGGAAGCTAGCCAATGCGTAACCTGTGCCGAAAAAAGGCATGTTCCGACACTGCCAACTATAGGCCTATTTCAATGACCTCCATCTCGTGCAAGATTATGGAGCGTATGTCGAACGCCCACCTTATGGCATTTTGCGATTACATTTGCGATATTGATGCGGTGTTGATGGTGCCACGGAGGGAGAGGAGTTACGGTATTGCGAGGAGTCGCTCACCCTACCCTCCAGGGTCGAAACATGGTAGGTGCCACGACAGAGATAAGATCTGCCGCTGGGTCGATAAAGCTAGCTGCTTCCGAGCGCTCGTTTTTCCTGGCCCCATGGCCACCGCGTATCAGACTCGGAAGGGTTCATTACGTAGATGGATTTGGAGGCCGTGGAGAAAGGCACCTCTTGTGCACCCGGTGTGCCTAACCTGAGAAGGATAGGTCCTCCCCGGAGGAGGAGCTGCCATGAGGCGGCCGGTGCTAGTGGGGCCGCAGATGTGTACAAAAGTGTTCTCGTGACCCTACCTATATGCGACGAAGGTGGAACACCATGGGGTTCAAGTCGGTACTAGTCAGACGTAACCCATCCTTGTTCCCGCGAGGCGGGTATGCGTAGACATTTCCCTATGTAAAAAAATCAGATACGTGCTAAAAGGCTCATTGGTAACCTTGATTTGATTGACACAAATCTGGTCAGACTTAAGCACAGGCGCAGAGTAGCGAGCCACTGGGTATTCTATAGGATGCATTTCAAAGAATGTGCGTAGTGCGTAGAACCAAACAGTTTGCTTCATCTTTTGTAATGCGCACAGCAAAATAGAATAGAATCTCTATTGAAAAATCGATTATATTTTAATGTATAAATACTTGTCTTCCTTATGCTTTTTTTTTAAACATAACTTTAATGCAAACATAATTTCTTTCCACGCTCTCGTAACTATGCAAATACAGGTTTGCAAGGAATTTAAAATTTTATGCCTTGAAAATTACAAACAATTGTGTAAAGCCATATTCATTAACAAAAAGACAGTATTAGCCTCTCACTTAATGTTCATTTTCCCTTCATGCTGGTGCTATTACGTTGGTTGCGACACTTAATTAAGTGAACAGATTGGCAACGCAGCAATTACTGTGATCCGATCGGATATCATCAGGAATAGATCCCCACTACAAGCGACTTATTTTGTTTGTTATATAAAAAGAGTGCACTATCAAAGTTGCACCAGTCGTCAAAGCGTTAGTTACCAAAGCAAAATGTTCTCTAAAGTAAGCCGTTTTTTATTGTGTCCACTTTAGATATCGTAAGATCTTATGAAACGAATTTAATGTGTAGGATAATTTGCGCTATCAACTGCATTATAAGTTTTATTATTTTTATATTAATTTACGATATTAATCTTTCGCAAGATATTTGATTAAAACTTTTTCTTATACAGATAATTGTTGCTTTTGCTGTAATGACAGCCTGTAAGGCGGGTTTGTTGCACCATGCGCCAGCAGTCTCTTCGTATAATATAGTACGTCACGATCAAAACATTCAACACGAGATCCCAATCCACTACGCTGCTCCAGCTGCTAACACAGGCTCGGCCATTTACTCTTCTTCTGCAATCCATTCTGCCCCTGAAAACCACGCTGCACCTGCCGATTCTGTCGGTGCACACGAAGATCACTATGTTGATGAATACGTAAGTATTACTAAGATACTTTTTAAAGGCTTGACTAGCGAAAATATTATTAGAATGTCACACATTTTATGTCCTTGATCCCCGTGTTCTGCCCATTCTTGTCATAAAAAGTAATGATAATGAAATAGTTATGAGGTGGGGGTGATGGAAAAGGAAGTTATTTATTCATAAGATACAAAAAACTTTACTACAACACTACGGCGAGATGAAGTGTTTTATTGCCATTCCAAGTGTTTTATTGTCGACAACACAACCGCATAATTTAAATATAAATAATAATAAAAAAATCATGAATTAGCAATATAATACATCCTGTTGCTTTTAATATGGTATAGTGGAGGAATGTCAGATGGAAGGTCGAAGACAAAGTTGGCATAACAAAGTATATGTCAACTTTTTTCCTTCACCGACTTCACTCGCTCATTGTGCACACTATTATTTGACGGATGAAGTATTTGTAGCCGATCAAAAAGCATTATTACAGCCTTCCAAAAGTCCACTGTTGAACAAAGGCCTCCGCCAAGAAATGCCCCAAAATACTGCTCTGAGCTACCTACACTAAAACTGCTAGGGACAACCCTACACTCCTCTTACGGCTAACTAAGGGCAAAAAATCGAATCAAAAACGCCAAACCCAAACTTTTCAAGCTGGTGATGAGAAAGTATTGCCTATTTAAATTCATCGACTATGGTTCCAATTACATGCATGTTCAACACGGTGACCATAGTCAAAACTTCCAGCAATAAAATGCCAACTGGCACATTATAGAAAGGCAACCAGCAGTGGACTGAAAAAAGGTTCATGACATGACGATGGGTTTATTGTTATTTCCTCTTACTAGTTTGCCTACGTCATCGTTTATCAGTCTTACTTTAATTTTTTTATATAATAGGGTGACAAACGAGCACACAGTCTACCTGATGGTAAGCGGTTGCTGTGGCCCACAGACATCTGCATCTATCTTTGATTACGAATCAAAATGCAGATGCGTTGTCACCCGTGAGGCCTAAGATGGAATGCCTCATTTCCAGTAAAAAGGGTCTCCGGTTCTCTACACTCACCATACGAAATACAGCAGCATCAAGCTACCATTTCACGCTGGTATTCTGTGAGAGCGTGGTCCTTCCCCGGTCGAGGCGACCCATTCGTGCTACAACTATACTAATATAACTGCAGCAACCAAAATATTAATTTAAATTTAATTAATTATTATTATTTTTGTTATTTGCAGGCCCATCCTAAATATGGCTTCTCATATTCTGTAGAAGATCCTCATACAGGCGATCATAAGAGCCAGCACGAAGAGCGCGATGGAGATGTTGTTAAAGGCGAATATTCGCTTCTCCAACCTGATGGTTCTTTTCGAAAAGTGACCTACACTGCCGATCATCACAATGGGTAAGATTATCTCACATTATATACATTAACTAAAAGTAAATTGATATAACAGTTTTAAAAATTATATATTTGATTTTATAATGTAAAAATTGAATTTAATTACAACTGAGATATTGTGTTTATTCAACAGATTCAACGCCATTGTTCACAATTCGCCGCCCGTGATCCATCATCATTAGAAGATGTACAACTGTTATGCTGTGATATTACAGTTAATTTTAAATAGTTATAATAAAGTAGTTAAATCCATTTATTTTGTTTAGTGCTGCAAGATCTCTTTAACCAGTTAGAATGAATAATAATATAACAAAAAGGCATATATATATAATAAAATATGGTATGAATGTATAAATGAAATAGTAATTAACCCCATATATAAATTTATTTGAGTATTATAGCATTAATTTCCCTAGCCTTCCCGTCCCGTAGTTAACAAAAAGTTAACTACATATTAGTAATGATTTCGCAAGATAAAGACATTGTAGGGACACCGGCTTTAATAAGTAAAATTTTTAGAGCTTAATAAATACAATTAAATAAGTGAAATGTCTCCAAATATTTAATTTAAATTGTATTATTGAAATAATTAACATATGCTATTACTTGCTGACAATAGCTCAGGAGCAGTAACCTTTTTATAGATACATAAAGGAAAACGCATGTTAACTGATTAGTGTTGCCTTGTGCCTCAAACATCCTATATACAAAAACACGATTTTTTACTTTATCTTTATAGATGGCACTCTGAGAAACTTTTTTTCTGAGCTTGACCGCCCCGTAGTAATATGTAAAAGATTGTGAAGATCATATTATCATTGAAATTACAAAGTAATATTGTGAGAAGGTAAAATATGAAGTAAATAAAGCGTATTATACAATATTTTATCTTATTTTCTAGTATATATATTTACATACACACATAAATAAAGTTGTGCACGAGCTTTCGAAAAACCACTGTTGTGAAGGGATATGTAGCAATTATTTTCCCGATAGATGGGATCCCACTTAGTCACGTTGCCGGCTATTAATGTTTCGTACTATCATAATATAATAAACATATTGGGTGCGTTTGGCAGAAAAAAGCGCTAGCAAGCGCTCACAAGCGCTGAAATAGTTTTCGGCCAGGACACGATTTCTACTTCAGTAGCGCTGACACAATCCGCCATTTTGCTTATTTAATTTGTTTGTTTTGAAGTAGAGTTTATAAGTTGTTTTGTGCAATATTAGTTTTAAGTAATATATTGACGTGAATAAACATAAACATGTTATTAAAAATTCATGATTGGTAAGTTTTTAATATGAATACTTTACAAACATATATTTAAATTAAGTTAGGTTCCCCAGTTAAAACTAAAATCGTGTCCTGGAGGACAATAGCTACTTACGATTTGACAGCGCTTACCGCTTACGATCGCCATTTTGCTTACAAGCGCTTGCTAGCGCTTTTTTCTGCCAAACGCCCCCTTTTACTTTCGCCACTGACATAAATATCATTCAGGAATTTAAATAAAAATTTAGAAACAACAGTTTTGACAGTAAAATTCTTCAAGATAATAAACGAGAGTTAATTTGTGCAGATTTAATTATAAAAATTACTCAAATTGCATGGTTCACCTCCCTTCAGACGTATGTTTAAAATATGTGGTCTGCTTTATTTCTTTATCCATTACCCAACGTATAATTATTTCACAATCTTAAACTTACGAGCACTTCTTAACAACGATGGATGCAAGTTGTTGCTTAAACGGATATTTTGAAATGAAAAGAAAACAATTGGGCGGTTTGACTGCTCGCAATCAAATGCGAAACAAAGCATCGCAACTGTGTCTCGACTTAGTCCACACACGTGTTAATTAGAATACAAAATGTAGGTAGTAGCAAGGAAACGTGTGAACATTTGCATGGCATCTGAATTGAAACAGAACATTTTATACAGTGTACATTACAAGATTACAACGTGCGGAGTGAAAGTAATACGATCAGGAATTCACTACAATAACCACTATCCCTATCCATTTATATTGATACTAAAGTAATGGTACTTTTTAATATTGATCCCATACAATTCGTTATATTTTGTCACCAGCCAAACCCGCGATTTAGTTCGCATAGTATATTTTTCTTTTGTTAGTTTAAAAAAAGTCAATTGGTAATTAACTCGGTTTGAAACTTTTTTGTCTGTACATATAATATAAAAAAATATGTGTAGTAAATGAGAAAAGTACTAAGAAATGCGTTAAATTACTTTTGTAATTTTTTTTTTCAAAATACAAAAAAGTTTCATAATATACAAAACACACACGCTTTAATTTAGTCTTAAAGTACTATATTTATAAAAAATATGGTAATCATGGTAAGTGGATGCTGTGGCCCATAGACATTTACATTTATCCTCTATTACAGATCAAAATGCAGATGCGTTGTCAGCCCTGAGAACTAAGATGGAATGAACCGTTTCTAGTAAAAAGGTTTTCAGGTTCACTACACTCATCATACGAATCACAAAAGTATTAAGCTGCTATTTTACGCTGCTATCCTACACCGGTCGAGGTGACTCATTATGTAACAATATAAATTTTGATATTTATAATGTACATGAGCATGATATGAGCTCGTATGATTATTAAATTATTTCATTTCCACATAAGTTAAAAATTAATGCGACTTAAAACTGTGAAAAATGTGTTTTGATTTATAAAGTTTTTTTGTAATTTATTCATATTCAATTACCTACAGTAAAAATTAGAAATTATTTTATCTAGAATAAGCGACGGCAAACTACTTCTACATTTAAGCCGAATTTCACGTCAATGGTATTAAATCATTAACCACTAAAAGAAATAGCCGATGGTGAGGCAGTGATCCTGTCAAACGGGTTTTGTCTGGACTTTTTGAGTATGGAACCATAAAAAATTAAACAGGAGATGAGAAGCAGGGTTTCCCAAAAAGACTCTAAACAATAAAATACATTCTGGCAAATAAATAAATTTGAATTTGCTACCCTGTCTGCGAAACAAGGCAACTATGACAAACACCTCCTCCTCTATTTTCAGCAGTGGCCCATTGTTAAACTGCAATTAAGAAATGAATGAAGTCGATTAAAAGTAATTAAATAAAAATCATCACAATTTTTGAATGTGTAGTTCTTATAAATGAAAGTTAAAATTTTCAAACCCAAATGTACTTATTAAATCCTCTTTCAGTTTAGGTGGACAGTTTATTAACAATCGAGAGTATAGCGATTACAGATTCTTGCCATTGGCACCAGTGAAACTGTTAATAGCACTTTTAATGGTAAAGCAAAACAGTGTAAAAAACCCTAATTTCTAGTAAAGTGGTGAAGACGCCTAGCGGTAGGGCGTTTATAGTTTATAACTTAATTTTTTGACTAATGAAGAATATCTCAATTTTAGTCCTACAGTGCTCGCATTATAGCTTTTATATCATCATCAATATGTTTAGAAATACATAATAACATTTACGTTGGTATACTAATAATAATAATAATAATAATGTCCTTTAGACCGAATTTCGGCCACGGCGGCTTGCCTCAATGGAGGCTAGCCATCGGCGCAGGACAGGATTATAGTGCCCAAGTGTGCAATGCGCAACAGGTGCACTCTCTATTCCCTCACTCTCGTAATCCGATGGGACGGTAAACCGACACGACCGGGAGAGAGATCAGGCGCAGGACCAACGGCTTTACGTGCTTTCCGAGGCACGGGGGTGTGACACCGCCAACTTCCTGACTCCGAGCAGCTACTGAGAATTTCTTGACAGAAAAACTCAATAATTAATTTTAGGGCCCGACCTGGGATTAGAACCCAGGACCTCATGATCAGCAGTCACACTACTACAACCACTAGACCAACGAGGCAGTCAACTATAGTTCCTATATTGAAATAATACTAGTTTTTACGGATTTTATCGCGTATATTTAATTATAAATACCCGACGTTTCGAACGCTTTACAGCACCCATGGTCACGTGGAGGACTGAGATGTTCAACGTCCAAATGTCATAGTTAACAGGGGTTACCATAGATAAAAATTTAACTTTTGTTCCGATCTACACAGTATGAACTTATGGTATCTTGAAGTCTTGCAGTTGTATGCTTGGGTTCGGATTAAATTTTATTTATTATAGGATCCCAAGCAGATGGTAGCACCCAGCCATCTTCTCTATTGAAATTGGGATGTTTTTTGATTTCAATAGCCTCGCGAATCATCCTTGGAAGGAATCGGTGTTCTTTAGCGAGGATTTGTGGTCCATCAAATCTGATGTACTGACGGGGGCGATCCTGTACGTGTTCACAGACTGCAGACTTCCCGGAACGTCGATTCTTCACATCAGCTATATGGTAGTGAAAGTTGGGCGTGGCAGAAGAAGCACGAGAGTAGAATAAACGCAGTAGAAATGCGGTCGTTAAGGAGTATGTTAGGGCTGAATCTTAATGACAGGGTGAGAAACTGTGTTATAAGAGAAGAGTATGGTTTGCAAGATGATGTTTTGACCATGATTAAGAAAGGAATGCTTCGGTGGTTTGGTCATGTGGAAAGAATGAATGAGGAAAGAGTGACAAAGAAAATTTATGTTGCAGAAGTGAATGGCAGAGTCGGAAAGGGACGTCGGAGGTGAAAATTTGTCGACCAAATTAGCGATTTATTGAAAACGGGCCAAATTAGGAATACCCTTAACCGACGAGCATGTATGTACATCACATCCATATACCTACGTATATGAATGTGAAGGAGTTGAGAGAGGTGTGTCAGGATCGTGCCAAATGGTGGTCTGCAGTCTCTGCCTACCCCTCTGGGTGACAGGCGTGAGTGTTTATGTTATGTTATGTTATTCTGTCTACGAGTAATATAAAACAGCAGAGTAATAGAAGTAATATAAAAATCATGACACGGCAAAAGAAAATAAAATACTGAGTAGTAAAATCTTAATATATATATATATATATATATATAAATTACGTGTCACGTTGTTTGTCCGCGATGGACGCCTAAACTACTTAACCAATTTTAATCAAATTTGTACACCATAGGATAGTTTTTTACCCATGCTCATGCCCACCCACAATATTTTTTGCGAATTTAAGGATTTTTAACAGGACATGACAAAGGGTCGTCGAAAAGAGCAGAACAACGTCTGCCTGGCAAGCTAGTAAAAGTAT